TGTTTTTGATGTTTTTCAGGTGATGTGACATTGGAAATAAATTAAATGTATGATATATGAAAATGAATGAGATATATATGATAACATTTATCTTTTACAGCTGACTCTTACAGTTGATGATCAATTCATTATCTCTTTTCTTATGCTTTTTCTTTGTCTGCTAGTCACTACTCTTACATAATCTCTATATGATACAGTGTTCAGTGACTAGGTTCAGCAGCTTTCATCTTTTGTGATTCTGTCTCATATATTATACTGTCTCTCTTCACTCACTCAGATCACTACAGTAAACAGCTTATCAAAACTAACCTCATCTGATCTCTGAGTATCTTCAGAGGTCAAGATAGCTTGATCTCATGTATCTGCAGATGTTTCAGATAGTTCATTCTCTGTGATCTCTGTGATTGAACTGGTGTAAACAGTTAAATTCAACTCTGAATTTCTTTTTCTTCTGCAATCTGATTCACATGCAAGTCTGTCACTTTGAGACTGCTCTTTACCACATTGCACTTACTATCTGCAGTGTGTTATCATACAATCAGCTACAGTCTCATCACTTATTGAAGTATAATATTCATCTGATTTCTTCATTTCTTCTCATTCTTTCCTTGTAATTGTGAAAAGATCAGAATAAGTGAGGTCATCTGATTTGTAAGTGTCTATGATTTCTCTTACTTTGTAAGACTTTTCAATTATAAGTCTCTTCTTTTTCAATGCTGATGATAGTGCTGTGAATGACTATAATTCACTCAGGTCTTGCATCTTTGCTTTTATAAGTCATGAATCATTGATTAAGTTATGTAAGATTCATTCCTCTGATTCTTTCAATGCATATGTTCTCAGAGAATGTGATTTAAGTATCTTATATAACTCAAATCATCTAGATTGAAACTTCTCAGAACTCTCATTGTGTATGAGAACTTACATTTTTATCTTGAGACTCAATTTCTTAACAAGTGAGTCTTGTATTCTTTTTAATTGAATTGCTTGATTTAGAAGTAACTTGTTAGCTTTTGCATGTGCATGACTGATCTCTTTCAATCTTGATTTCATATTCATGACTACTGCATCTGCAACTGCTACTGCTGTGTCTGTAACTGCTGTTCCTGCTGCATCTGTAACTATTATGTCTGCAACTGCTGTTCCCTCTCTCACCTTTTTCAAAGCATTCTCCGGGATGCGCGGATGCAATCCATACAACAGATAGAATGATGAACACTTGAAGACTGCATACTGTCGAATCTGCATGGCTAATAGCGCCTGCCTGAGATATTCATCTCATAGTCTTGTAGACTTGCTCACTAGATATTTCATCAGCATATTGCTCAAGATTCTATTCAAGCATTTCATCTTTCTGTTTGTCTGTGAATGATATAGCATTGTTCTACAATGTCTTATCTATAACTGACTCATGAAATGCCTCATTACTTCTTCTATGAGATTCACATTATTATCAGTTAGAATCTCACGCAGTATTTCATAGTTGATATAGATCTTATTATATAGAAACTTCATCATCATCTTCTCTATTGTCTCTGAAACTGCTTTCACAACTGACCAGTCAGTAGTGTAATCAATAGCAGTGATTATTCATTAATTTTCATTTGATGTTCACAGCAATATGTCTATGAGATTCACTCTTCATTGTTTGAACAGTTGTATCATACACTTTATCTGATGTTGTGCTTTCTCATGTTCTAATCCTTTCTTAGATTCTTTCACAACCTGGCAATTCAGGCATCTATAAGTGTACACCTGGATGTTCTCAGTCATGCTTAGTCAGTATACTCTTGGTTTGAGTACACTCATGAGTTCAGGGCTTTCTAAGTGACTGAATTCCTTGTGTATGTGAGTCATCAAGTTGTGTCTAAATGAAGATTCTAGATAGAGAGCTTCTACATATTCTAGATTGTAGTAAAGCACAACATCATTTTTATTTCTCAATTTTCTCAGCTTGAAGTTCAGAAGCATCTCTTCTACTACTCTCACAAGACACTTGTTATTCAATATCTTGTCATTCTTCAAGTGAGAGATCATGATGTTCACTCATTCTGATTCCTTGTATTCTCTCAGTGTGTTTAACATGAATGTCTCTTGTGTCTGATTCACAGAACTCTCACTCATGAAATCAGATCTGCAACTGATTATGTCAGGTATTACAGTGTTCAATTTCTTTCAGTATTTAATATGAAGATTGTATGCTTAGAACTCTGAGATTCAATGTGCTAAGCATTTGAAAGGTTTTGTTATTAATTATAGATAGATAAGACTTTCATGATCTGTGATCACTGTTGTTGTATGCCTGTTGTCAATATATCTATTTTATAACATCAGCATGTGCTTAATCACTAGTAATTCCTTTTCATGCACTGAGTAATTGAGCTCAGTGCTTGATAGTTTTCTATCATTATATGCTATCAAGTGCAGCTTACTGTTCTTACTCATCTGTAGAAGAACACCTCTGATAGCTCATTCAGATGCATTTATCTTGATGTAGAAAGGTTTATCACAATCTGATTGAATAAGCACTGAGAATGTTATTACATGTTCTCTCAGTGTGAGAAAAGCCTCTTCACATGCAGCATTTCAGATGATTGAATAAAACTTCTTCTTTTACAGATTTGCATCTGTTTCTCTCAAGAGATCTGAGAGTGATGCAGATATTCATGTGAAATCCTTGATGAATCTGCAGTAGTATGAGATCAACTTAAGAAACTGTTATATATGATATACATTTCTCAGCTGCAGTTAATTTACTATGACATTCAATTTCTTCAGAATGAGATATATACAGTCATCACTCACTACATGTTCTACAAACTTCAACTCTTTCATTTCAAACATATACTTGATTGATTTGATGTAGAGCTTATACTCTGTCAAAGTTATAAGCACTTCATTGAGATGCTTCAGATATTCATTGTATGAGTTTGAAAAGACTAGAATGTCATTGAGATATATAAGATATGAGGTTTTATTCTGTTTATAAAGAATTGTATTCATCATTATTTGAAAGATGACAGATGCATTTATCAGATTGAATAACATTGCTAGGAATTCAAACTTCTCTCATTATGTATTAAACACAGTTCACAGAACTGATAGTTCATCTACACAGATCTGTCAGTATTCTAAGAGAAGATTGATCTTTGATAGATATCAGGTGTTTCTGACTGTATTCAACTGTTGTTGAATCTGTGACAGTGAATATTCATTCTTGATTGTAAGCTTGTTAAGTGCTTGATAATTGATACACATCTGTCACTTCTCACCCGCCTTTTTCATGAATAGAACTGGAAAGTCCCATGTGCTTGATGAGAATTGTATGAGATTATATTCTAGAAGATTGATAATCTGATGCTTCTGTTCTTTGAGATGTGTTTGTGACAGAGAGTATGCATTCTGATTGACTGGTTTTGTGTCCCCTGTGTCAATCTCATGTATGAATCCTTGTTTCAGCAGCAATTCTGATGAAAGATCTGTTCAGAAGATCTTCTTATACTTCTTCAGAAGCTTCTTTATACACTTATCCTTCTGTATATCTTTTATCTTAGTTTTCTCTGCTTCCAGGTCCTGTATGATATACAGAATGCTTTTAAATGAGGTCTTGTGAATCATTCTCTTTGCTTGTTAATGTGTAAGTAGATTTAATCCTTATATATCAGAAGTGTGAAATGTCCTTCTCATATCAGTTGATAGAATTGTATGAACTGTTTTCTTTCTATCAGTTAACTGCATATGATATGTACATCATTGAATCTGTGAATTGAACCTTTGAAATCAATTGAGTCTGAGAATAAGGTCATATTCCATGTTCTGCAGCTCTCGCGCTCAAATATAGCAAGATCATTCTCTGAAGTGTAAGAGAACTCTTACTTTTGCAGGTGATATCAAATATTAATTATCAGATAATCTTATGTGTTGAGAATTCTTCACTCAGTGAACTTCTTTCAATCTTCAAATTATATGATTATTAATATATTATGTAGAAGCTTCTGTGTCTGCTAACACTTTTATAGCCATCTCTTAATTCTTACTCAAGTGCTCTCTATATATTAATATTTCAGGTCTCAAGGCATTGAGATGAGTATTCACTTCATTCTCACCTGCATCTCATTTAAGAGCCTGCTTCTTCTTTGTATTCACAGGATTCAGAGAGTCATCTAATACAGATATCTCTTTCACTTTAAAGACTTTTCATAGAATATCAGTGAGTGTCTCTGAGCTCACTGATTCTGCTAGTTTTTTAACTCTCTTGCTTCTCTTGACTGCACATGCTGAGTGTAATCTTTTATATCATGATTTTAGTATCTGCAGTTGAAGCAAGCTCAATACTCACAATATCAAGGTTTTCACTCAGAGGATTTCTTTTTCAGAGAATTCAGCACTTTAGTGATAACATTCAGATCTAGATTCATTGTGTCTAAATATATAACTTATGTTATAGAAGTCTGATTATCTGTTCTCTGCTGAGATATATCTGATTGTAGTATTTTCTGTTATAATTGACTTACTTGTTTCTGTATAATAAGAATATTGTATGCTTTCTTCACTATATCTGACTGTGAGATTAAGCATTTTCATTCTGCTCTCAACTTAAGTGTAAGATCATAAATGAAGATCTGTAAATAGAAAGATATTGAGAGCTCTTCATTCAATACAAGATAGTGTAAGCTGAAGTATATGAAGTATGATATAAGATTACTCACTTATCTACACTCAGTGAAGTGTTCATAACACTTATCTCATATATTCACTTTCTCAAAGTTATACAAGATTCATTTGAAAAACTTATTTCATATTTGTGAGAATGAATATCACTCTGAGTCTGTAAGATTCATCTTTTCATCAGTTATTTATAATGACTTCACTTTTCTATGTAGAAACATAGCAGATCTTAAGACTTGTTGAAATTCTGTTAACTGTCTGTCTGTGAGTTCATATTTAATTCAATAATATGATCACATCTGACTTAGTCAGCTGATTGCAGCATCATTTTTTCAGTTGCTATTAAAGCTTAATAGCTTCAGCAGATCTTCTGACTTGATGTATTTCATACTCAGATTCTTATTCTGTACAGCAGTCTCTGATGATGTATACACTTCTGAAGAGATTGTGAATAATTGTGATGAGATCTTCAGGTTCAGTGTAGTCACCTGTCTGTGTAAATGTTCAATCTTCTGCTGCAGGCCTAAGATCTGGTTTTCTCTATTCTTATTAATGATGATGATTGTGTCAGTGAAGCTCTTCATAGTGAATGCTTGATCTGCAGTGAATGTCAATTATTGTTTAGCTTCTGTCTCAGCCTGTCACTGTGTATGCAAGACCTTAATCTCATTTAGAATTCTTATATATATACAGAGCTTCAATTTCAGTTCAGCAGTCTTGACTGCTTTTCTTACTACTTTGAGTAAACTCTCTGAGAGGTTCTGTATACCTTTCAGTTCAGATAGCAGAGAAGGATATTATTTGTATCAGCTAGAAGAGGTATTTATTTCAGTGATTTCTGATTGATTGTATGATGTCTATCATTATATCACTCTATTGCTATATTGTTATATGATTTCTGTTATCATCATATAACTCCGGTGATGATCATTCCCTCTTTTATTCTTCTTTTGAGTAGAGAGTGAACTTCTTTGAATCTGGTTCATCACTCTCATTTTCTTTCTCACATCTCATCTGTTTGCTTCTCATACATGGCATTCACCTGGGTGTGGAGTTTTCCCTCAATAAGTGAAGCAGTATCAATTAAATGCTCTTCTGCTCACTGCTCTTTGTACACTATCTTTTGAGATGTTCTAGAATCACACTGGCATGATAACTATGAATTGCTTTATAGATGGAATTATCACACTCTGAAGGAGCCTGTGCTTCTCACCGGTTTTTAGACATGCTATCAGATGTGATTCAAAGGTTGCTTAAGCCAGTATATGATTACAGGCATACACCGGCTTCTTATATATTGTAATATTGTATGCTAATTTAATTAGCAGCCGCTATGGCCCCTTTACACTTGTACGCGTACGCTAGTAGTTCGGAAGCGGCCGCGTTATTATCCGACGGTCGTACGTTCTTCCGAACCACATATTGCTGAAAGAATCTGAGTGAGATTGTCAATCTCATTATAGCAACTGTAAAGTGTTCAAGCTCTTAATACAGTGTGATGAAGATGATTTTGAAGTGATCAGAATCTTCTATAAGCTGTTGAAAGAAGCCTTGATGAATATTCATTGATAAGAATACTATGAAACTGCTTAATAACTGCAGAACATTCTGCTGTGTCAGTAAAGAATATACATTTGAAAACAATTGTAGATTGATCTTCTGCAAGTTCACAATTACACACAGTTTCTCTTTATATCAGATTATGAACACAGAGAAAGTGATAGAATTCTTGATCTCAAGAGAAACTCTCTCAATTCTTTCATTTTAAACAAGCAGATTCAAGATTTAATCAGCTGCTTCTCAATCTCTTCATAAGAGAGAGTATGATTACTGCTTCAGTCTGAAAAAATCATCTTTATTAATGAACTGTAGTGATATCTTTACATTGTCTGAAAATAATTTCAGATTGAAATTAAAAAGTTTGTGATGTCAGTTAATAATCTTCTGAATTGCTTTATAATTGCCTGCTACTCAGTGATCTGATATCTGTGCTTCAACTCACTCAGTGAGAGTGTTTACTGTGAGAATCTGAAGAAAATTATTATAATCTTCTGTATCTGTCAATAGATTGAACTGTAGACTGAATAATTTCATATATGAGATAGAAAACAGAGATAACTTCTCAATTGAATCATTATTAATAACATTGATATCTGTGAAGCAGATGATGATTCTTTTTTACTTTTATAATAAGAGAGAGTTTCTACCTGCATAGATAGTGTCTCTGATAATCTTGACATTTATAGCATATTTCTTATAAAATATAATACACTCATCATGAACATTGATGATGACTCTTACTAATGATAATATATCATTTACTATAATTATATTGCATCTGAGATATCACATCAGATGAAATTCACTCTTCAGATGAAAAAGAGTATCATCATCTGTCTTTAGAGTGAGAGCTGTTAATATGAATAGGTTCAATTCATTTGTATCTGAATCAACTTCTTGAATGTACACACATCAGTCATATGACAGAGCAGCTGACTGATATTGAGAAAAGAATATGCTTATTATTACTATATCAATAAGTGATATACCTGTGTCTGTATTAATGCAAACTGAGAGATTGTCTCAGAGAGTATCAATGAGAATAATAAGAAAGATGTAGAGTAAGTACTGCAGTTCACTAATATGTTCTTAATTACTTATAAGAACATCACACACTGTGATAGTGTATATATCAGTGTTAAACATACTCAGATAATTGTCTGAAAGAGTATTTATAAATGAGACAGATCTCTCAGTATCTGACTCATTGTCTATTTTTCTGACTTACTATCAGAATCTAGACTGAGATTTAGTTATAATAGATTATTATTCTCTTCTCTATCACTCTCTCATTCAACTTGATTCACTAGATGATTGCTGATCTTCTCTTTTCTGAGATAGCAGTTAATGTAATGAGAGTCTCTGCACACATAGCACTCTGCTGCAGATGCTGGTGATTTGCTCTCTGCATGTCTAATCAGCAGCCTGCTCACTGCAGAGATGCTTGCAGAGAAAGTCACTGTGAGATCTGCAGCAGACATAGATAACTTGATAGTTTTCATCTATTATCTGATCAAGAGAGTCTGATAAGAGTGATGATTATTATTTTAATCAAATTATCTGAAGCTTTGTATATATTCAGTGAATTGAGTTCTTCAATCAGTTTAAGCATGTCAGATGACTGACTCATTGTCTCTAATTCTTCTTTAAAAGTTATTCAGACACTTGATGAAAATAAGAGATGTAATCAGAGATAGATTTGACTTCAACTCTTCTCATAGAAGTCTCTTCATCATTATAAAGTCAGAGATTGAGACAGCTCACAGCAAGTTAATCTTCTGTGAGATATACAGTGTCAATGACAGCTCATCTGACTTCTCAAAGAAGAAATGCAGTTTTTGAGCTTTTATCCAGGCTTTCTCCTCAGATAGCTGAAATTCTCATCTCAGCTTGCTGATTATAGTGAGAAGAGAAGTACTCATATTCTTTCTCATTTCAGTAGACAGATCATTGTGTCATTCTAATGCCTGTTTCTTTAAATATAATGAAAAGACTCAGAGTACTGCATCTTCTCTCTTCTATATAATAATAAACTCTAGATGACTGATGAATATTATTACATCTGCTTCTGCTGAATCAAACAGTATAATATCACTCACTCTCAGTCATATTAAATGTTCTCATTCATCATCTTCAGTGTAGTTAATCATATTACTGATTCATCATGAGAATGAACAGAATCTATTATCTAGCAGAAAATCATTATAATTACAGATGAGACAGATCTTCTTCTTTAAGAGTACTGTGAATACTTACTCTCTACAGACTTGATTCCCTTCTATGTCATAGATGAAGTGTGAAATATCTGTCTCTCATGTGAAATTGAATCTATTTCTTATTATATTTAAGCAGCAGATTCTGTCTCTGAACACATCTCACCTGACATCATATAGCTCTCTTGAGATTGCAGGTGTTCACAGAGCTCTAGAGAGTGATTTGAAGCCTTTTTCAAATAAGACATTCAGTCACTGAGTGAATTCAGTGAGAGAATCATTATCTTTAACTTAAGTCAGTTATTTCTATTACTGTTGATTTTTGTGCTGCTGCTCTTATCTCTGAGTAGTGAGTGCTGCTTTCTCTGTGTAGAAGTTGCTTCATATCTCTGTCAGTCAGCTTCTTTCATCTATCAAATACTGAAGATTGTTCTGAAGCTTGCTGACATGCTTATTAATAAGAGTAATATACTTATTCAGCTGTTTCTGCTGCTGATTGAGCTGATGCTTATACTCATCTAGCTCACTTTCTTACTGAGTCAGCTGAGACTTCAGTTACTTCAACTCTTCAATTGTATCTAATACAGTGACTTCATTGAGAGAGATATGACTCTGACTATTAAACTTAACACAGCTTGAAGCTATTGATTCTCTTTCTTTCATATGCTTTGTAGCCTCTGTATCAACTATTAGCCAACCGCTCCACCACGAACTCGCTCGATTTTTCGAATAAGAACCCGCCGATAGATCCATCGAAAAGCCCTCGATCATACGAGCATTCTGACCCCATCGCCGACCGCATACCCTGTGTGGTGGTGGAGTTATCCAGCCAAACGTGAACCAGACGTTGTTCGAAACTCCTGTGTGGGATTATCCCCCGTTCTCCCCTACCACACCACAACCCCGGGCCAGAGTACCATACAAATTGTAAGGTGAAGTGACCTAGTCATATGCATCAATCTTCTCGATTTTGGAAGATCCCCGACCTGTAGTTGTGGAGATATCCGAGGAGCGACCTCCGCGAAAACCCTGTCCATCTTTGATGTTCCAAAACACCAACGCCAAGTCTCACCCTCGTACCGCCCTTCCCAATCTGGCCCATCCCCGGCAGAAAAATACAAAAAGATACCTCGGCGATAATATCAAGTACATAACCAACAGACTCTTCTGAAGTGCAACCTCCACAGTCTGTCGCCAGTGTATCTAGACTTCAACACCAAGTCTCACCCTTGTACTACCCCTCTCAATCTGGCCCATCCCTGGCAGAACGATACAAAAAGATACCTCGGCAACAGCATTCAATACATAATCAGTGGACAATGAGTCAACAGCACATCAATAACTATAAAATCAGTATACTTCAAGGTCTGACTGAGCCTTTGATCCCTGCACAGTGAGATATATTAAATCTGGTTTTAATATCTCAATATTCAATAGATTCTGCAAGAGATTGAGAACAGCAACACTAGGTTTCTATTGAATTTGAGAATTAACTCTATATTGATATAATCATTGACAAAGTCTTCTATTTTGAGATATAAATAATCAGTTCCTCTACATTCTGCTGACAATATTTATATTATTATATAGAAACAGACTTATATTCTCTATAATATCAAGACTCTGAAGAGGAAAAGTCTTGATAGAAGATATACAGTAGTACATATCTTAGCAGTTTCTATCTCATTCTTCTGCAGCAGTTAATGCAAAAAAAAGATCTTAGAAATAGTTTTTTACTTCTCTTGAAAAAGTAAGGTGTTTTTCTCTGGGTTTTATACAATATTCTTACAAAGAATTAAAAACAGAGTTAT